AGAGGTCAAGGTTATGATGGAGCAAACAATATGTCAGGTGAGTTTAATGGCTTGAAAGCTTTAATTTTAAGAGAGAACCAATATGGTATGTATGTCCATTGCTTTGGTCAACAACTTCAGTTGGCAGTTGTTTCTGTGGCACGTAGGAATAACATACTTGGTGATTTATTTAACATACTTGCTATTATTGTGAATTTGGTGGGTGCATTATGTAAGTGTGTAGATACTCTTCGAACAAGTTACCATGCCGATATTTTGGAGAAACTTAATATTGGGGAACTTTGTAGTAGGAGTGGAAAGTTTCAAGAAATGAGTTTTGGCACGCCCAGGTGATACTAGATGGGGCTCACACCTACTGACAATTACTTATGTTATTAATATGTTTAATGTTATCATAGATGTTCTTGAAGATATATCAGAAGATGGCGTAAATTTAGATTAGAAATCAATGGCCGCAAGACATATGGACACTATGCAGGACTTCAAGTTTGTGTTCAATCTCCACTTTATGTTTGAAATTCTTGCAATTACAGACAATCTTTCACAAGCCTTACAGAAAAAAGGATCAGGATATTCAGAATGCTATGAGGTTATTGAATTTGTATAAGTATGCATTGCAGGACATGAGAGACAATGGCTGGGATAATTTGTTGAGTAGGGTGATTGAGTTTTGTTTTGTTAGACATATTTTAGTGCCCAATATGGAGAATATTGTAGTATTGAATGGTCGACCTAGGCTTGGAACTCAACATGTGACTTATTATCATCGCTTTTATGTTGATTTGTATTGTCATGTGATAAACTCAATCTTGCAAGAATTTAATGATCCTAACTTGCATTTCGTGTTTAAACCCAAGAGATTCCTTTGCAGCTTTTGATAGGGATAAATTGCTATGTCTTGCTCGGTTGTATCCTTTGGACTTCAATAATGAAGAGTTTTTATTAGTTCGACCTCAACTTGACAAGTTCCTTATGTTTGTGAGAATGAATGAAGTTTTCTTTAATCTCAATAGCATTTCTTGCGTGGCTATTAATTTGGTTGAACTAAGAAGCTCTTGTTATTTTCCATTGGTTTACAGGCTGATCACCTTGGTTTTGATATTACATGTGGCAAATGCAAGTTTGAAAGTGTACTCTCTGCTGTGAATCTAATCAAGAGTGAATTGTGCAACAAAATGGGAGACGACTAGTTGAATGACAATTTGGTGGTGTACATGGAGAAAGAGATTTTTGAAAAAAATTGAGAATGAGGAGATCCTGTAAAATTCAGTTGTCTAAGATCACAGTTATAGAGTAGGTTGTATTGCATATTTCTTTAATATTTTAGGTTGTATTGAATTACGTTTTCATATATATATAATTTTCACGTTTTAGTGCGTTTACATATATATGGAATAAATTTTAATATTGTTTAATTAAATATTAATAAACGATCTCGCTCTTACAATTGCTGGCTGTCGACGTTGACTGGTCAACATCCTCTCGGGCTGAATTTCAATGCTGGCTCCAGCGCTAATTATAATGTCTAATTTCATGAAGAGATATTACCTAAATATGAATTTTATGATTATTTATCTATGAAGAAATGTATACAACAACTTTTGCTCTATTGACAATGCACCAATATTTGATATATTATATTGGTTTTGCATGACAATGTCTTGGATAAAAAAGTATGGGCATTTATGTTAATTTTATATCGTGGATGAAGTTATTGATCATCCACTTATTTTATTGTTATTTAATCCTTTATTAATTATGATAAAGTAACAACAGATAATATTTGATCACTCATTTAGTTATGGGTACTTGTTGTATTTCCATTATCTTGTAGAGCTTATCAGCAATTCCTGAAAAAGATAAGGATAAATAATTGAAGCTAACATAACATAATATTAGTTCTGCAAATTTGATTGTAGGTTCCAGAAGACCTAATATTATGTTACTAACTTTATTTTAATTTATACTATGCCCCTATTTGGGATCCATTATAATGAGTTTTTGGGAATAATGTATTCTGGAATGATGATTTTTTTGACGAATGTGTGGTTAAAAAAGAAAGAAATTTTTTAATTTGTGTGATATTATTTTATTGAAGAATGTTTTGTTAAAATGAAAACAGAGAAAAATATATTAAATTATAAGGAGACCAAGCAGGGTCTATATAAAAATTAGTATAATTGTAAAACTACTATATCAGACCAGAAGTTCAATATATTGAAAAGTTTATTATTTGGCATGATTGATCAAACCATCCCGAACAACAATGATGCAAAAAATTATTAATTTAATAAAATGCTACCTCCTTAAACCTTTTCAAGAAACCAAATGAGGAAAAACTTGAGCGAAAGAAAAAAGTACAATTACTGTACCTGCTTTCAATGAATGAAATTTTTTGTATCAAGTCATCCACTACAACAAAAACAGCCTATGACAATGTTCGAAAAACGTTGCAGTAGGCCTACGGCAACGCTTGAATGTGTGTTGCAAATTTAGGTGTTGTCGTAGAGTGGGAGGTCTACCGCAACGTTTGGCAAACGTTGCGGTAGAGGCATACCGC